TTCCTACCAGCAGCCACTCATGCCCCCTGTGCAGAGCCACATGGCCCAGAACCCCTTCATGGCCACCATGGCCCAGCTGCAGAGCCCCCACGGTGAGCACAGGGGCAGAGGGTGACCAGCAGACACTGTGGACTCTGAGTGTGTCTGGTGCAAGGGAGTGCTTGTGACGGGTGGGGCTCTGAGGGGCTCGAGCGTCTGCGGCCAGGTGTTTCCGTGTGCGAACCCACGCGGCCACATGTGCATGTGTGTGAGTGGGCACACATCTGGGTGTTCAGGGCGGTATGTATTTCAGAACTATTTCCAGATTTTCAAAGTTAATATGGTGAACACACCATACACTCTATAACTTTCCCAGCAGGGTTTGGGGTAACAGTCACCAAGCACTATGATTTATGCAGCAAAAAGTAGAATTCCATCAAGTACATTAACAAAGACTTAACTTCTCACCAGGCTCAGGTCAGACTCTGCCGCCAGAAAAGCCCTTTTCATAAGTGCCAACCTCAAGAAAACCTGCTGGTTCTCACACCTTTTTGGAGTTTGGAACTGGGGATAAGGGGTTGTGGCCCCTGTACCCCTCTGTGCATGATTGAGTGCATGCATTCATGTGTTATGTGGGTCACTATGGTTTTATCTGTCAATGTGAGAGTATTTTTCTACTAGTGTCTGTTTTTGTGGGGGTGGCTATAGGTGGAACTCGGGGTTCCATTTCGGAGGCATCTGGATGTGGAAATAAGCTGTTCACCCCTCACAGGGGCCCTGGCCTTCCCCTCTGAGGCCGGTACTTACTACAAGAGCACCTGTGCCACCTGTCATCCCCAGGTGACAGGAGGAGCTCGGTCTGTGCTCTGGGCCTTTCCCAGGCTTCTCTCCACCAAGCCAGGCTGAGCAGGCCCCTGAAGTTGGGGAGAGGGCCCAGCCCAGCCCAGGGTGCCACGGCTATATCTTGTCTTCTCCACCCTGGCTAGCCCTGTACAGCCACAAGCCCGAGGTGGCCCAATACACCCACACGGGCCTGCAGACCATGCTCATCACTGACACCACCAACCTGAGTGCCTTGGCCAGCCTCACACCCACCAAGCAGGTAAGACCCAGGGCTGCCCTAGCCCCTCCCTCCAGGCCCCTCCTCAGGGAATACTCTCGGGGCTCAGGTGGCTCTGTTCCCCAGGTTTTCACCTCAGACACCGAGGCCTCCAGCGAGTCTGGGCTTCACACACCGGCATCGCAGGCCACCACCATCCACATCCCCAGCCAGGACCCTGCCGGGATCCAGCACCTGCAGCCTTCCCACAGGCTCAGCGCCAGCCCCACAGGTGAGCGGCCTTCCTGCTCCCTCTTCTTCGCTCCCTCTTCTTCCCTGTGTGTAGTATATGGGGCAAATGGGGAGGAGGGGAAGGGGCAGATTTTGGAGGGCACCCTGTGCTTCCCTGAAGTGAGCCGAGGAGTGAGAAACCACAGAAAAATGGGCACATCTTACAGAAACTTACATCACTGGGTTGAGGAAAAAGACAGTCATGGGAAGAGGAGTGAACTGGGCTGGCTGGGTGCCCGGAGCGGTTCGAGGATGTGCGGGTTCGGTGCAGGGTTTAGCATCCTTTAATCATCGCCAACATTAAAAATCAGGAGCTTTCATACACTCAAAATCCAGATTGGTGGCTTATCTTGGAAAACTGGAAGGATTCATGTTTCCACATAGCAACAGTGGGCTCAGGCCACCCTGTCCCACTCGCCCATTCATTTCCATCCCCCTGTGATCCACGCCTGCAACCTACAAGGTGATGGTGAAGAGCAGGTAGTCAGGCTGCTGGGCTTTGAGGTCTGGGGTGGCCACCTGCTCAGTATGTGACTTTGGGCAAGTTGTACCCCCTCTCTGAGCCTCAGGTTCCTCCATCCAGCCCTGGTGGCTGCAATGACAGTTACCGAGGGGCTCGTGGTCCAGGCTCCATGCTTTACCCGTGAGGCACGTGTCATTATCCCCATTTTACAGATGAGTAGGCAGACACTCAAGCTGGTGAGGGACCTGGCCTTGCCTCTGACAGCTACTAGGTGGCAGGACCAGGACTTGAACCCAGGTCCAAACTCAAAGCCCATACTCTTAACCATCAGAATCAGTCAGGCTTCTCCCGAGACAGAACCAATAGGAATACATACATATCTAAGGACCTGGCTCACACGATCGTGGGGCAGGCAAGTCCCAAAGCCGTGGGGCAGCTCAGCAGGCTGGCTACGCAGGCAGGAGTGGATGCTGCAGTCCCGAGGCAGAAATCCTTCTTCTCTGGGAAGTCCCAGCTTTTGTTCTCAAGGCCTTCAACTAATTGGATGAGGCCCACCCACAGTACAGAGGGGCATCTTTACCAAAGTCAACTGATTGTAGGTGTCAACCACATCTACAAAACACCTTTTCAGCGACAGTTTGAGTAGCCTTTGGGTCAACGACTGGGTACTACAGCCTAGCCGAGCTGACACATAAAACTAACCACCTCACCATGTTACTGGGGCTCCTCTAATATTCCCCAAAAGTGTACCCAAGGAGGCCACTCCCTGGATGGCCCCAGAGCCTGGCAGGGGGTTAATAAGATGAGGTCCCTTGCCCCCACCCCAAGTGCCTCCAGGATGACTGGGAGGGTCAGGATGGGCTCAGTGGGCAGCCACAATGTCATTTGCCTCCGTAGTGTCCTCCAGCAGCCTGGTGTTGTATCAGAGCTCCGAATCCACCAACGGCCATAGCCACCTGCTGCCATCCAACCACAGCGTCATCGAGACCTACATCTCCACGCAGATGGCCTCGTCTTCCCAGTAACCATGGCAACTGCCTCCTAGGGGCTGGCACCTGAAGCCTACACAGCCCGCTTGGGGGGTGACTACACAATCTGAGCCTATAAAACTTCACTACCAAGGAGCTGCTGCCCTTCCCTGGACAACTGGGCCTTGGTCCCCACCTAGCTCAGCCAGTGTCAGAGAGGGAGGCCCTGAGGTGCCCCAACCTGAGGGATGCTTCACTGCACCAGGAGGGGCTATGGAGAGCTGGGAAGCAAAGCCTGTTCCTGGCAGGACACAGGAGGAACTGTCCCTGCTGTTCCAGGTAAATCTTGCCACTTAGAACAGAAAGGGACAGGCTTTGGACTCTGGTATGCCCAGCCTGGGCCTGTGGAGAGCCCCAGCACCCCGAAGGGAACTCTGGCAGCCACACTTCTCAGGATACAAGCCAGTGTAGCTGTGACTCACTGAGCTCCGAAAGAGGCCCTAGATCAATGTGGCCACATTCTGTCACCTATACCCTGTCCAGGCCACTCCATCCTGCCCTCCTTCCTGCTATTAACCCACATGCATTTGTACCCACCCATCCCCCACTCACATAAGCATTCCAAGAGGTTACTCTGTCTGAGGGCCTGAGGCTCCGATGCCCAAGCACTCAGAGAGCTCAAGCTAATGGTGAAGGCATCAGGGCTCTCCAGCTTCCCTCGTCCTGAGCCATCCCTCTCCCCGGACCCTGTGGCCTCGTTTTCCGGGACACTCGCTCTCAAGCATCATGCCTTCTGACGCCAGCCTGGTATCTTGCCTCTACTGAAAAGCCCTCGGCAAGGCTAGGAAATTGTCCGTGCTCCTGTGGGAGCCTTGCAACTCTGTGCCTGGTGCTCAGTCCGGGGCGGCAGCTCCCCGGCCTCTGGGGCCCTGCAGATCCTTCGCTGGTTTGGAGAAGATGTTGAGTTCAGACGGCAGCAAGGTCTGAGCAGCTGGCTGAATGGAGGTGCCCAGAGGGAGCAGAGAGAGGTGACAGCAGCAGAGAGCAGCCACCTGTGGGGACAAAACTGATGCCTGGAAGCTTGAGGGCCTGGATGGCTGAGGGATGGGGAGAAGTCCAGGCAGATGCAGCCCCCGAGGAGCCTGTGCCTGAGGACCACCCAAGGGACAAGACGGCTGTGTAAAGTGGGCTCCTGTGGCCTCGTCTCCCCGAGGTGCCGCAGATAACCTGGCCCTTGTAGACCACCACCCTCTCGGGATGCAGAGGGGGCTGCACCCCCTGCAGCTTGCAGCCAGCTGAGGGCAAGCCTGTACATTATTTAACTTTTAGTAAAGCAAACGAGGAACATGTCGGAAACTTCTTGCTTGTCCATGTTGCCCGGATGGGGCTAGGCGGGCAGAGAGCGGGAGGGCCAGGGGCCTGAGAGGGGTCCAGCACACGCAGACTCACACGCGTCGTTCTTGCTCTGCCGAGTCTCCAAGGCAGGCAACGAAGTCAGAACTGTGCTTTAACCGTGGGCTTGCAGAATGGCCCTGGTACGTGAAACCCAGTCCACAAACGCTGTGACACTTCCTTAAGTCTGAAAGCTGGGGTGCAGGAACCCATCTTGGGGTGTAGGCAGGAGGACCCTCTTGTGTGATGCTTACTTAGAATTTTTCATTATGACTCAGCACTGACTGGAGGCAGCACCCAAATGACTTTGTTACATGTTGGGTCTAACATTTATCTTCAATAATCTGGTTGGGACATGATCGTGTGTAGTACATTCACAAATGTGGAGAAAGTTCCGGAAAACAAGAGGGAAAAAAAAATCTCTCTTTTTCAGACAATGTTATATCCAGTCTATGTGGCAAAGAGGGAGAAGTGCAAACTCTTTGGGCCTCAGCACCTCAGGGACCCCTTCCCTCACTTTCTGAAGGGGGGAGGTCCCCCTTCACTGGCTCTCCTCAGACAGCACTGGGGAGATGGACACTTCACCACTCGGCCATCAGTCTTTTTTTTTTAAATCCTCACCAAAGGACATTTTTTTTTATATATTTTGTTCAGATACAGTGAAAGGAAGAGAGAGAGAGAGAGAGAGAGAGAAACATCGATGTGAAAGGGACACATCGAGTGGCTGCCACCCACACGACCCAACCAGGGCCGGGGACAAACCGCAACCGAGGTACATGCCCTTAGCGGGAACCGAACCCGGGTCTCTCTGGACCGCAGGCCAACACTCCAACCGCTGAGCCAAACCGGCCAGGGCTCGACCATCAGCCTTGACTAATCGGAAGGCTCCTTCGTCCTGAGACCACAGAGTGTCCTGGTAACACGGTCTGCTCGGCCCCCGTGGGAGCACAGGAGGGCAGGCCTGGCTTAGCCTTCTCACTCTACAGCCACGGCTTTGCCCCGAGTCTTGGGCAGCATCTGAACTTGCCAGCCAGCTCCTTGAACTTGAGGGAGGCAGGGCTTGGCAATGCCTCGTCCCAGTGGGGCCTCGTCACAGGGATGAGTGGGCCTCGGGTCCGCTCCTGGGTCAGTTTGCAGGCACGGCTGCTGTGCTCTGTGACGGCGGGAATGGGGAAGCCTCGCTGGCCCTCTTTGTCTTTTTCTTCCTTTTCTTCTTTTTGGTTCCAAGTGACACATGGTCTCCGTTGAGCTTAGCTGACTCCCTTTCTTGCTTCCCGGCCCTGCTTGTGGTGATGGTGGCTGTGGTCAAGTCTGTGCTGGACTCCTTCTTGGCTTCCTTTTTCGACTTCTTTTTCTTCTTCTTTGTTTCTTTTTCTACCTTGACAGGGCCATGGAGAGCAGACTCCTGGAGAATGTCAGAGGCCGACACAGCGGCCTCCTGGCACCGCTGCCACTCATCGCTGTCCCCGCTGCTGCAAGGAGAGGGCAGTCTGGGTCAGCGGGAGTTGGGGCTGGGCCCCAAAGCTGCCTCCAGAAAGAGGCCACAGGAAGAGGCAGGTAGAGAGCTCAGGCTCAGGAATGAGGCAGACCTGGGTTCCAATCCCAGCTTCTCCACTTCCTAGCTATGTGACCTCATTCAGAAACCTCTCTGACATTATGTCTTCATCTATAAAATGGGGATCTTCACTAGCCCAGGCTTCACAAGGATGTCCAAGAAGTGAGGCGTCTGGCCCAACATGGGTGCTCAAAACACAGTCAGCTTCCCAAGCCAACCCCCAGGGGAACCTCTTCCCCCTCCCACTGAGGGTACTATTCCCGAGCTACCTGACAGGGCTCCTTCTTGGCCACACCTCCCTGGATCTGCCTGGCTACTCTGGGACACTGGCCAACAGGGAAAATGGGTAAAAACGCGGGGACTGAGGAGACGGGGTGCGAGCTCACCTGGAGCTGGAAGGCAATCGCTTTCGGCAGGGCTGGGGAGCAGCTTTCTTCTCAGGGCCTTCAGGGACAGAGGTGAAGAAAAGGCGGAAGCCTGAAATCCAAAGGGCAGAGTCAGCTGCCAGGTGCCGCCCCTCACCCCAGGTGCCAAGGCTGCCCTGCCTCTGCCCTCAAGGAGCTCCTAGGCCAGAGGGGAAGACCCAGGAATCCTTCCCGTCTAACCACAAAACAACGCCTCATGTGATGAGGGGCATGCTTGATGACAGATGGAGCCCGAAGACGGGGTGCTGAGGGGACCCCAGCTGCCAAACCAGGCTGGCAAGCCCTCGGCGGCTTTTGGAAGTTAGCAGCTGAGCCTCCTGCCTCAGGCAGCTTCCAAAGTGGCAGAGAATCTGACCCGGGACCAACAGACTCAGACAGGAGAGGCTGAGCAGGGTGCGGGGATGGAGCTCCTGCTCAGGGTCAGACAGGCGAAGTCACAATAGACAAGTGCCTTCATTCCCCAGAGCCTCAGCTGCCCTTACAGTCCCCCTGCAGATGGGGTATCATCATGATGACCTGCCTCAAAGAGGCTGCACGGATGAAAGAGGGTAATATACCAAAACTGCTCCCAGCTCCAGACATACAGTAGGTGCTCACTAAATAAATGACAGCTGATTGACAGTATAAATACTTACCATCGTCTTCCAGAACGACTTCCTGTACCTCAGCCTTTGTTGGCTCCTTCACAACTTCTGAGATGGTAATGGAGCTAAGAGAAGAGGAGATGCTTGATTTAGGATAAGATTTTGGGTACCAACAAAAAAAAAATTTTTTTTTATCCTCACCTGAGGAACATTTTTCCATTTTTTGTTCAGATAGAGTGGGAGGGAGAGAGAGGAAGAGAAAGAAAGAGAGGGAAGCATCAACGTGAAAGGGACACATCGAGTGGCTGCCACCCGCACGACCAACCAGGGCCGGGGACATACTGCAACCGAGGTACGCGCCCTTAGCGGGAACCGAACCCAGGCCGACACTAACTGCTGAGCCAAACCGGCCAGGGCCAAAAAAATTTTTTTAACTTAAAACAATTATTTATGTATTTATTTTATTTTTTTAAAAATATGTTTTTATTGATGTTTTTAGAGAGAGAGGAAAGAAGAGATAGAAACATCGATGCGAGAGAGAAACATCAATGAGCTGCCTCCTGCATACCCCTCACTGGGGATCGAGCCCGAAACCTGGGCATGTGCCCTGACCAGGAGTTGAACAGGGACCTCTCAGTCCATAGGATGATGCTCAAGCCACTAAGCTACCCTGGCTGGGCAAAACAATTATCTTTTAAGTGGAGAGAATGGGGCATGTCATCTTTTTAAAAAGTTTTTTTTCTTTATTGATTTTTGGAGAGATAGAAACATCAATAAGAGAGAAATATCAATCGGCCGCTTCCTGCATGCCCCCCACTGGGGATTTGGCCCACAACTTGGGCATGTACCCTGACTAGGAATCAAACCGGCGATCTCTTGGTACATGGGTCGATGCTCAACCACTGAGACACACCGGCTGGGCAGGGGCATGTCATCTTAAATGCAAAAGCAGACAGCACACAAAAAATTTTTTTAAAAAGCAGACAGCACAGCCCAAGAGTTTTCTTAAATAATTCAGATCAAGCCCAGCCAGTGTGACTCAGTGATTGAGCATCGACCCATGCACTAAGAGGTGGCCAGTTCAATTCCTGGTCACATGCCCAGGCTGTGGGCCAAATCCCCTGTGGGAGCATGCAGGAGGCAGCCAATTGATGTTCTCTCTCACCAATGTTTCTATCTCCCTTCCTCTCCCTTCCTCATTCTCTAAAATCAATAAAGAAAGATAAATAAATAAAAGACAGCACAATGTCCTGATAAGAATGTTAATGCCTACAGCCATAGCCTGCTGAACAGCCCCTGCCAGCTCAAACTGCAGGGCTTCATTTGTTTAAACCCCACTTTATCCCAGAACATGTTGAGGATTTTAAAGATACTCATAGTACAGCAAAATGAATACAATTTCAAATAGAGCAGAGAGAACATAAACGCAGACAGACAGAAAGAGCCAAAGTGTGGTGAGGAAGTCCTATATACTTGCTAGAGAGAGGGCACACATTTTGCTCTGAGCTTCTAGGCGGCAAGCACGAAGAGAGAAATATGACGGGTCTAGAGAAATGGTTCAGAGGTCAGCTTAAAGAGGAGGGTGGCCCTGATTACTTTTATTTTATTTAAAACATTAAAAGAAAGTTTTTTTAGATAACTGTAGATTAATATGCAGTTCCAAGAAACAGAAGGATTCTATATACTCTTTGCCCAGTTTCTCCCTATGGTTAACATTGTGCATAACTACAGTTCAATATCACAACCAGGAAAGTGACATTGATACAATCCATTGGCCTTATTTAGACATCAGAGACCGGAGTTTTGAATCCTGTCTTTGTCACTCACTAGCTGTGTCCCCTTTGGCAAGTGACTTCATCTCTCTGAGTCTCTGTTACCCATCTGCACACTGGGAGCCCCTACCTCTTAGGGTTGTCACAGGATTAAATGAGATAGTGGGTATCAGGCACTTAGCACAGAGTCTGGCCACAAGGAGGCACTCAGTAACTGGTAGCTATGGCAATGATTACTGTCATCATGAAGCAGGAAGTTTCACAGGACCTCTAACAAAGACAGACCCTCTATCCAGAACTGCCAAGACCAGGAAGCACGTTTCCAGTGAATGCTGACAGAGAGGAGTCACTGTGCACTGTACAGAACAATGCTCTCAACACTGTCCTCACAAGCAGACACAGCCGTGTGCTGGGTGCTTTCTCCTAATTGCTTTCCATAGAGGCCAAAGGCATCACCAGAAGTCCTGGACAAGAAATCAGTCTGGGAAGAGAAACTTGCCACCCAGGTGCCTGACTCTCACCCAGTATCTTAACGCAATGGTTCATTGTTGGTCCCTTGGGCATATTTGGAAATGTCTGTAGACATTTTTGGCTGTCGTAACTGCTGTGGGGAATGTTACTAAAATCTAGGGGGTGGACACTAGGGATGCTGTTAACTCCTCTATAATGCACAGGATAGCCCTACAACCAAGAATCATCCAGCCCCAAACATCAATAGTGCCAAGGCTGAGAAACCTTGATCTCACACAAGGGGAAATGTAGACACTGCAGGGAATATTCTGACCATGGTTGACCAGCATCCTGCTGGATTCCCCACCTGGGGAAATGTCTGGTATGAATCACTGTAGCACCAGGCAGGCCTTGTTTACCCTGAAGCCAAATAGTCAAGATGAAAACCTGCTCCCACAGGTTGAAGTGCCAACAGACCTTCCTAACATGTTTCCCACATTCTGAGTTGGGGGACTGGCGCTGTGTCATGGTGGTTCGGGCTGCTGAGATGTGGTAGAACACTCTGTCAAAGAAGAGCAGCTGGTTCCCACTTTGGGAGGGCTCACTTGTCCTTTTTGATATCTACTTCAAAGTGAAGAATTCTGGCCTGAACATTCTCATCTCCCTTTGTTTTGTTTTGTTTTTAAATATTTTTTTCTTTATTGATTTTAGAGATGTGCCCTAACCAGGAATCGAACTGGTGACCTCTTGTTGCATGGGTTAACTCTCAACCACTGAGCCACACTGGCCAGGCTCACCTCCCTTTCAAAACCTGCTCTGGCTCTGGCTGGTGTGGCTCAGTTGGTTGAGCATCGTCCCATGCACTGAGAGGTCGCCGATTCGATTCCTGCTCAGGGCATGTGCCCAAGTTGTGGGCTAGACCCCCAGTAGGAAGCATGCCAGAGGCAGCCAATCAATGTTTCTCTCTCACATGGAGGTTTCTCTCTCTCTCTTCCCTCGCTCCCTTCCTCTCTCTCTAAAATCAACAAAGACATATCTAAAAAAACAACAAACAAACCAAAAAAAACCCTGCTCTGCCAATCAGGAATGGATCTAGACCAGTGCATCCCAAAACGTGTCCCATGTTACATTATCAATCTTCCATGAAACAAAGGCACTGCAGCCAAATGAATCTCGAAACTCCTGGGCTGAATAGGTCTCTTAACTGCAAGACTTCTCGGAGCCTCAAATATACTATTATGAGTCACAATCTCTAAGGGCACATGGGGGATGCAGACTGCAGTGTTTCCCAACTTCTTTGCTTAGACCCTTTTTTTCCTTGTCACACTTTGGACTTGTATTCCTTGGTGCCTATTTTAGAAATGCTGACCTAGATCTTCACAAAGTGTATTCTCAAATGTAAGAGAGAGAACCGGCACAGTGCCCGCCATGTGGAAAACCCCCAAAAAGTAATTCTGTCTGTTCCTTGCCCTTTTGTGAATGAGGTCTTCTTAGGTTCTCCTCTTATCTCGTGGGAGCAGGACAACACAGTGGTTAAGAGCAAGGCCTTTGGAGTCAAACACACCTGGGTTCTAGTCCCAGCTCTGCTCCCTACTCCCTGTGACTTCAAGCAAATGCTTCTTCTCATCAAGAGCCTGTTTCCTGCCCTGGCTGGTTTGGCTCAGCAGTCAGAGTGTCAGCCTGCGGTCCAGAGAGACCTGGGTTCAGTTCCCGCTAAGGGTAAGTACCTCGGTTGCAGTTTGTCCCCGACCCTGGTTGGTTGTGCGGGTGGCAGCCACTCGATGTGTCCCTTTCATGTCGATGTTTCTCTCTTTCTCTCTCTTCCTCTCTCCCTCCCACTCTATCTGAACAAAAAATGAAAAAAATGTCCTCGGGTGAGGATAAAAAAAAGTCTTAGCTGCCCTGGCCAGTTTGGCTCAGCGGTTGGAGCGTTGGCCTGCGGACCAGAGAGTCCCAGGTTTGGTTCCTGCTAAGGGCACACACCAAAAAAATAAAAAGAGCCTGTTTCCTCACCTACATGGTGATTATGAATGCAATGAAGTGGTATGTGCCATGTGCTTGCCATAGTGCCTACTTGCAGACTGTGAGCTCCCCGCCAATATGAGCCCTAACTGTTCCTATTAATGTGGGCGGGAGAAGAGAAGGTATGCTTTTGGTTACCTGTCCAGCAGGGCTCCCAACTTCTTGGCTACGTGGGCTCGAAATTCGGGGGTGGTCTGAAGCTCGTTGCCATCTTGTTCATGCTCATCCACCTTATGCCTACAACACACACAGAAGGACCTCACTCCCTGCCAGCTCAGAAGCTGCTCCAGGAGAGCAGGGGCTACATGTGTCTCGTTCACCCTGATATCCCATGGTTTAACTGACACACAGCAGAGGATCAGTATTTGGTGAATGAAGGTATGAAACTTGAATCCAAAGTGCACACAGTACCTGAGGCTCAGATGGGTGGTTGGCAACTGATTATTTGCAGCATCTGTGGAAATAATGAAAATTGAGGCATTTATAGAGAAAATGAGAATAACAATATCTGTTGTGTGCCAGGCATAGTTTTAAGTGATTTTCATCATGTATAACTCATTGAATCTTCCCAACAACCCCATTAGGGGGATCACCATTATCTCCATTTGGCAGAAAAGAAAACTGTAAAATTACTTAGCCAAAGTCAAATAGTTAATAAGTGATAGAGTTGAGATGAGGAGACAGTCAACTAGCTCCAAAGCCCCTCCCTGAACACCACGCTGAACAGGCAAGTCTAAGTTTAATTTGATTCCAGCATTTACTGAGCACCTTCTAGGTACCTGGCTGTGTGCTAAGTTCCATGGAAGACAAAGAAGATGGTGGCTTCATTACACGGATCATACTTTTAAAGCCAAGACACAGAATGTCTGGCCTGGTGGTCATTTACTCAACCAAATACTGAAGGTGTAATATTACCCAGGTGGTGTTCTAGTGGCTGAACAACTTAGGCAAAGATTCCAGCCTTCATGGATCTTACATTCTAGTTGGTGGAGACAGATGACAAGAAAACACACAAAATATATAATTAAATAATAAGTACAGGGGAAAAAAACAAATCAGGAGAGGGAGGTAGGGATTGCTGGATAGGGGATCATTTTATAAAGGTGGGCAGGGAGGGCGCATCAGTGATAGGCGACATTTGAACAGAAATTTAAGACAGAGGTGAGGAAATAAGCCATGTAGCTGTCTGGGGAAATCTTACAGGTGGAGGGATGAGCACCTGCCAAAGTGCTGAGGCAGAAGTCTGTCTGGTGTTTTAGAGCCAGCAAGGAGGCCAGTGTAGCTGGGGGAGAAATGGGGAACTCATGGGGACCAGATCAAAGACCTGGTCCAATGCAAGGACCTGGATATTGAAGGAAGAGAGAGAGAGAAACATCGATCTGAGAGAGACACATCAAGTGGTTGCCGCCTACACAACCCCAACCAGGGCCAGGGAGAAGGTCCGTGCCCTTAGCGGGAACTGAACCCTGGACTCTGGTCCGCAGGCCGATGCTCTAATGGCTGAGCCAAACTGGCTGGGGCATAATGTTTTAAATGAATAAAATAAAACACCTAGGATTACAAAGAAATCCAGTGATGCTGAAATTCAATTACCATAACAGTAAGAACAAATCTGGCATACTAATATATGTGCTTCTTTTTTATTTTTATTTTTTTGTTATTTATTTATTTATTTTTTATCCTCACCTGAGGACATTTTTTCACTTTTTGTTCAGATAGAGCGGGAGGGAGAGAAAGGGAGAGAGAGAGAGAGAGAGAGAGACATCGACATGAAAGGAACACATCAAATGGCTGCCACCCACACGATCCAACCAGGGCCGGGGACAAACTGGTACATGCCCTTCGCGGGAACCGAACTCTGGTTTCTCTGGACCGCAAGCCGACGCTCTAATCGCTGAGCCAAACCGGCCAGGGCTATTTTTATTTATTTTATTTTATTATTATTTTTTTTGATGGTACGTGCCCCTGGGACTTTGTGGTCCGCAGGGCGACGCTCAACCGCTGAGCCAAACTGGCCAGGGCCATTTTTATTTTTTTAAACAGGGACATGACATTCTTTTATTTATTTACATTTATTATTATTTTTTAAATCCTCACGTGAGGATATTTTTTCACTGATTATTTTTCAGATAGAGTGGGAAGCAGGGACGGGGAGCGTGTGAGAGAGAGATATCAATGTGAGCGACAGACACATCAGTTGGTTGCCTCCCACATGATCCGGACCAGACAGGGATGGAGGTATGTGCCCTTGACTGGAAGTGAAATCAGGACTCTGGTCTGAGGGCCCACACTCTAACCACTGAGCCAAACCTCCCAGGGCTATGTGCTTCTTTTTTAATGCAATGAATAAGATCTAGAGATTCTTTAGACCTACGGTCTAAAAATTACTGTAACTTTAAAGTAGAAATGTAGAAATTAGTGTAAATGATTTTTTCAACATTTTATTGTGAATAAAATATTTTCATCTATCTGCAAGGCCTGTAATGGGATATGAAAACCTGTGACTTTTGATAGGGCAAAGTAACAGGTGTTGTCGTTACTTGTGGCTTGTTGCTCACATGAAGGATGGGTAGGGATGCTAAATTTCAAAGAGAACAGTTAATGAAAGTAAAGATGAAATATTTTTCCCATTCCAGATTTATGTACCTTCTGGATTATCATTAGGTACCCCTATAATGAGGCAAGATGGGGCACGATGGCATCACGGTCGGAATTATGTGCTGGACACTGCCTACTGGCCGTCCCAGGGTGCGTGTGAAAACGTGTTGCAGCTGGGGAAAGGCTGGACGAGGGAATCCAGAAATGGGCTGTGGCAGTCATCTCGGAGAGGTAGCGGGCTGCCCAGCGTGTGGCCAAAGGGAGCTGAGTCGAGAGCAATTCAGGTGCCTCGATTTCCCTGCACCAGCCCGCGCCTGGACTCTGAACCCCATCCAGCCCCTGGAGTTCTCTCGGGAAAGTAAGTCTCGGTGACTCCTTCCTCACCATCCATCCTCCCAGACCCCAAGGAAAGATCCTACGACTGCTCCAACACAGTCCCCTACCGGCTCTTTTCTCCTCCGGCCCTCCCCGGCGCTGCTCCAAGCCCCAGGCCGGCATCGCCGCCTCGCGGCATCGCGCCAGCTCCTCTGTGTCGCTGCTGCTGCTACTGCTGTCCAAATCGTTCAAGAAACTCCTGGGCGCCGTCATCTTGAACCACCGCACAGGATTGTGGGGAGCGCCTCCACTAGCGGTACCTGTGCACGACCGCACGTAAGCGCGGCGGAGTGCAGGGCATTGTGGGGATTGTAGTTCTCAGACGCGGGCCACCAATCGCTATTGAATTACCATGGGAGTTTCCTCAAACATAAGGGTTTAGAAATGCTAAAGAGATCAACTTCTCCATCCTCTTTTAAAAAAAATAATGCTCACCAGAGGATATTTTTCCATTTATCTTCAGATAGAATGCGGGTGGTGGGGGAGAAGAGAGAAACACACACCTCCCACCTGACACCGACCAGGGCCCCTCCCAATTGCAACCGGTGTCAGTGCTTGACCAGGATTGAACTGTGTCTCTTGGTCTGCTGGCCAACACTATAACTGCTGAGCCAAACCAGCCAGGGCAACTTCATCCTTTAATTGATGAGGAAAAGGAAACATACAGAAGGGAGAAAATTGCCTAAGGTCACACAGAGGTCAGTGACAGAACCAGGATTAATTCCCAGGGTTTGATTCAATGTAGTTTCAACATCATTCATTTATTCCAGGAATTCCAAAATCTATCTGAGAATCAGAAACAATTTAGAAAACCTGTTAGAATGCAGATTGTTGGGTGTAACCAAAAATGAACAGAATCAGAATATTTTGAGAGGTGAGACTCAAGAATCTATATGTCCTCTAATATACTCATACCTTGCTTCTACTCAGAGTATAATCTGTGGGAAAACAGGCAAAGGGAACGTTTTATAGATGAAAAGAGAGAAGGCCTTAGGTGTGTCCTGATTGAGGTTGGTGGCAAGGAGAAACTGGAGGCAGACTATCTAGAGGTAGGACATCATCCTATGTGATTGTTAGAGCTTATTTGGTTTTCTCTGTTTGGGCCTGAGATGGAAGGTGGGAAGGTGGGGGTTTAGGGGTGAGATTAAGGAAGCTTGGCAGTTATTGACCAAGTCCTGACAATTCTGTGTTGATTGCTGCACGGGTTGTGGACTGGCTTCCCAAAGTGGTGGCTGCAGAGATTGTGGGTCAGAATTCTATTGTTATATATGGTCTGGTCATTTGTATTTAATATCTCACATCCCTCCTCATTCCTCCACTGGAGGGAGGGCTAGGAATTCTTTACAAAGCTGATAAAGACATGGGGAACCCCCCACACACAGCCGAGAGCTGGAGTGAATGATTGATAGGACGAGTCCTGGATCAGATTGCAGAACCACACAGACAAGTTTCCCAGAGGAAACTAGCTGGGTAGAAATAGAAAATCCGTGTCTTTCTTCTTGGAGAGGATGAGGGTGTCGCTGTCCTCAATACCATAGCTCCTAAAAGACGACCAATCCTGCAGGACCTGGCCTCGGAACTGCAGCTGTTGCTGCTTTCTGAGCAGCCCCTGCTTGTCTTCTATCTGGTGCTTCAGGCCCAGGATGAAGCTGTTGGGGTCAATGGCATAGGCGTGGCTCCCACCATCTGGATTCTTCACAAAGACCTGGATCTCGGGGGAGGTGGTCTCCAGCAGACAGATTTGAGTGTTGCAAAAGATCCCGTAATCGGCCAGGGAGCTGCGGCTGCTGAGGAGCTTGCGCTCACCGCTGGGCGTCTGAAAGGACAGACGCTGCAGACCAGAGCAGCCCTGCCTCCGCCGGATCTTCTCTTTAACCTTCCTTATGGGCTCATAAGGGTTCACGATGAGGATCAAATCTGGGTAACCCCACTGCTCCACAGTCACCTGGATGTCTCGTGCCCTCTGCAAGGGAGGGGAGAGAGGTTGAGCCCACATTCCTCTGTCTGACCTGCCCAAGTTCCCTTCACCTGTTTTTCTCAATAGCAGCAACAGCAGCAAACATCCAGGGAGTGCCAACCACTTTCCAGGCCCCATGCTGGACGCCTTTTACACTTTTCTTAAAGCATTTTATTCTCATAGCAGCCCTATGAGGGGTTGGTTCTCCTATTATCCCGTTTTACAGATGATGAAATTGTGGTCAAGAAGGGTGAAGTGATTTACTGACCATCACAGAGGTAATAAGTAGAGCAGGTACTTGAACCTGCTCCAGTGTTTGTTCTTCACCATCAGAGGCCACACTCAAGGGCCCGAGAGTCCCAGATGGCTGAAGAAAAAACCTGGAAGGTGCTGGGAAGGACTGGCCTGCTAGCTGATCCTTTCTATAAGGAATAGAGGCCCAGCATGATCAAGTCTTCTGATTTTTCAAGATTAAAATCTTTGCATGAGCCCTGGCTGGTTTGGCTCAGTGGTTAAAGTGCTGGCCCGTGGACCAATGAGTCATGGGTTTGATTCTGGTCAAGGGCATGTACCTCCATTGCAGTTTGTCCCCAGCCCTGGTTGGGGTCATGCAGGAGGCAACCAGTTGATGTGTCTCTTTCACATCAATGTTTCTCTCTCTCTCTCTCTCTCCCTCCCTCCCTCCCACTCTATCTGAAGATAAATGAAAAAATATCCTCAGGTGAGGATTAAAAAAAAAAGAAGAAGGAAAATATAGTCAAAATATTCAAGAGTTTAAGTATTCACAAATAAAATGTATTTAAAAAAATAAATAAAACCTTTGTGTGATGGTTTGTCTAGTCAGGAAAAATCCAGAGGCATATAATTTTCAGCCCATCTGTGGGTCTCATTTGGCTGGTAGGCTCCAGTTTGTAATCTCTGCACCTTATTAGAGAGCTCTGGTTCTGCTTCTTCCCCTGCTCCAAGCAGGTCCAGCTTTTGTTCCGGCACATACCTCCAGTCCTTTGCCCCTCACCTCCCACCCAGCCCTCTACCTGGATAAAGTGCCCTCTGATCTGAGTGTCTAGATCCCTCTCTGGCTTTTAAGACTCACCTCTGGCCCTATCTTCTTCAAGGAATCATCTCTGGTGACTTCTGAGATAATATTTTGTTTCCATTTCCAGAGCCCCACAAAGACCTGGGTGTAAATCCCACTGCCTCTTAGCAGTGTGACCTTGGTCAGTTAATCTAATCTCTCTGAGCCTCAGTTTCCTCATCTGGAAAATGATGATAAATGAAAATAATAATAATACTTGACATTTATACTTGACAGAATTATCCCCGGACAAGCACTTTGCAAATTGTAAAGTATTATGTGAATAAAGTAGATTATTATGGCCTTTGCCTGTACCATAGGTTTTGCCTCACATTATATTATCTGTTAGTCAGCATTTTTTGTTTTCTGAGTATCTTCTCTGGAAATGCTTTCTAGCAGTTTTTTCCCCCAGAGTTTGGAGCAATGGAAGGTTTATTGATCGAGAAGGCCTAGCTCGAGAACATGAGAGAACTAATCCTCCAGTCCATTTCATGACAACTCAAAATGCAGGTGTCCTCTAGCAGTTTTGTGCAAGTTCGCTTCAGAGACTGTTGCCCCTTTGTCCCCACCCCCACCTGCCCCAAGCCCAGTGCTGGCACAAACAGCTGACTGAATGGACTTGCCTGGGCTCAGCTCATACACGGGATGATTGGGAGCATGGAACTGATTCTCAAGTAGGTAAGGAAAGAAGAAAGGAAAGTAGAACAAGGATTTGAAGATAAGAAATCTGAGACTCAGGGTGGGGCGGGAGAGGTGGAGGGGGCATAGAGGGGATAAATAGTGATGAGAAAAATGAAATAAAATAAGAAACCTGAGGCTCTGAGAGCTGAATAATTTCCCCAAGTTCACAGAGCTGGTGGATGGTACAGCCAGGCCTCAAACTATCTAATTCCAACGCCCTGTTGGCTTCATTGACGCAGAAATAAATAAGTAAACACTATGCATTTGTCTCATTGTGGTGCTTCAAGTACCTGGCAGCAGCCCCAAGAGGAGCAATTACCTTCACATTCCAGCTGGGGACTGGGTTGTTCTTGCTGTCATAGCAACAGTCCTGCTTCAGGCACTGGCAGGCCCTCTGAGCCACTATGTCCCATCTGTACCCTTCCGCCACGTTGTGGGTGGGGTCAGCCGGATCCAGGATGATGGGCCTGCAACACAAGGAGAGGGTGCCCAGGTTCTTTCTGGTTTGGAGGCCCAGAAGCCAGAAAGATGCCTTCCTAGACATCTCTTTAAGGCTCTGAGCACCTGCTATGTCCAGAGCCCTGGATCATTGGTCCAGGAGGACTGAGAAACATTGCTAGAGAGTAACAGGGTACAGCTGATTAGATTCCCAAGAATTCCTCTTGGGGAGAGTTCTCTAGGTGTCCTTCCATCTGAGATGGGAGGGAGCTGGGGTATTTATCTACCAACTTTCACCAGGCTAAGGGACGCAGGTGCTGACAGTTGGAGGCTGCACCAGATTTCATGGCAATGGTAAAGGCCGAGGGCATGTGGATGGACCCCAGCAGCATGTGCTGCAGTCGTGACTATTTATCTGGCATCTACCATGGGCTACATACTCAAGGCCCTTGGCATATATTTTCTCTGACCCTCAAAACAGTCCTGCGTTGTTGGTTTCTGTCCCTCCTGTTTTACAGAGAAGGAACTGAAGCTCACAGAAGTGAGAAAAAGGCAGAGCTGGGATTAAACTTGGGTCTCCGTGATTCTTTCCACTTTTTTTTTTTTAATCCTCACCCGAGGACATTTTTCCATTTTTTGTTCAGATAGAGGAGGAGGGAGAGAGAGGAAGACAGAGAGGGAGAGAAACATTGACATGAAAGGGACACATCGAGTGGCTGCCACCCACATGGCCCAACCAAGGCTGGGGACAAACTGCAACCGAGGTACGTGCCCTTAGCGGGAACCGAACCCGGGTCTCTCCGGACCGCAGGCTGACACTCTAACCGCTAAGCCAAACTGGCCAGGGCCAGGCTCAGTGTTTTTTAAAGAGAGCATGAGAAAGCTGCCCTGGCCGGTTTGGCTCAGCAGTTAGAGCGTCGACCTGCGGTCCGGAGAGACCCGGGTTCGGTTCCCGCTAAGGACACGTACCTCGGTTGCAGTTTGTCCCCAGCCCTGGTTGGGCCGTGTGGGTGGCAGCCACTCGATGTGTCCCTTTCACATGGATCTTTCTCTCTCTCTCTCTCTCTCTTCCTCTCTCTCCCTCCCACTCTAGCTGAACAAAAATTGAAAAAAATGTCCTTGAGTGAGGATAAAAAAAACCAAAAAACACTAAGCCCGGCCAGTGTGGCTCAGTGGTTGAGTGTCAACCCATGCACCAAGAGTTCGCTGGTTTGGTTCCTGGTCATGGCACATGCCCATGTTGCGGGGCCAATTCCCAGGGTGTGTGTCAGTGGGGTGCACGAGGCAGCTGATTGATGTTCTCTCTCATTGATGTTTCTATCTCTCTCTCCCTCTCCCTGCCTCTCTTTCTAAAATCAATAAAGAAATATATAATAAATAAATAAAATAAAATAAACCACTGAAATGCTCTTCTGAGGGTAAGAGGGCTAAGGTAGGGTAAAGCGGTGGCTTAAGGAACAGAAAAAGGCTTAAAGCTGCTAAGACCCCTGGCGATTTTAAACTTTTTTTTTTATCCTCACCCGAGGACATTTTTCCATTTTTTGTTCAGATAGAGTGGGGGAGAGAGAGAGAGAGAGGGAGAAACATTGATGTGAAAGGGACACATCGAGTGGCTGCCTCCCACAGGGCCCAACCAGGGCTGGGGACAAACTGTAACCGAGGTACGTGCCCCTAGCGGGAACCAAACCTGGGTCTCTCTGGACTGCAGGCCGACACTCTAACCGCTGAGCCAAACTGGCCAGGGCCCCCTGGCAATTTTGAAAGGCAGCCAACTTGAGATGTCAACCATCAGCCTTACTACTTAAGAAAGTCCCCCTCCCCCCAAAAAGAGAAACTCAATACCACCATTCCCTCAATTCTCTTTCTTCTCTCTGACATGTGGTTGGCAAGCAGGGGCCCAGTACCTCTCTCTTTGGAGCTGTTTTCTGACAGCATCTTCAATGACTGGGTTCTCGAATGTGTAGTGCCTGGTCCAATAGATACAAAGGGATTCATACTCTTGGAGTAGTTCCATCACAGTGGTGAGGCCTTCATCCAACCTGAAACTCTCATTCTCCTGTGTACCCATTTCCCAGGCATAGATGGTCAGTAGCTCGAGAGCGTAGAGAGGGGGCAGCATGGCTTTGGGGCACCTGGCTTTCACATACTGTTGAAAGAGATGGGAAGAGGGAGAGAGAGAACCCCAAGGTCCTGTGTCAGGATGGCACAGGACCTGAAACTGGAAAATCCAAGTTCTTGTCTTGTAACAGTGGGAATTGTAACCCACCCCACCATTCTTTTGACATTGTTCCTATAAATGCTGACTCTGACTAATATGTAGCTTGTAGATGAACAGCATGTTTGTTTAAGAATCCTAGGAACTAACTTCAGAAGATGCAGACTCTGACCTCCAGTCATCCCAGTTCCAGGAGATTTGATGACCTTATGACATAGAACCAGGAATGACTAGAACCAGGATGACATACACCAGCCCATCATTCGACCAGTTTCGAGATCCTTATCAGAATGGACTGTGCTGGATTGTACATAGTTTTTTTTTTCAACCTCCGCCCCTTGATCTCTTTGTTCTGCTTTCCCTCTTCCTCCTTATAAAAATCTCTGCCTGCACTGAGAAGGGGAGATGGGCTATGTGACAAGAGTACCCCATCTACTTAGGTTTCTGGCACTTGAATAAACTTCTTTCCTTTTCACCAGCATCTGTCTCACAAAGTTTGGGTTTTCATGGTGGCAGCCAGCCAAATTTGAGTTCCGGTTACAGTCTCAGCTTTGCCTTCTACTGGCTGTGTAATCTTGATTTTTTACTTAATTTTTTTTTTCCTTTATTGATTTTAGAGAGAAAGAAAGGGAGAGAGAGATAGAAACATCCATGAGAGAGAATATCAACTGGCTGACTCCTACATGCCCCCCACTGGGGACTGGGCCCACAACCTGGGCATGTGTCCTGACTGGGAATCGAACCGGTGACCTCTTGGTGCTTGGGTCGATGCTCAACCACTGAGCCACATCAGCTAGGCTAAAGACACTTTAAGCTGAATTCAAACTTATTTATTTATTTTTTTATGGAGAGGAAGGGAGAGATAGAAACATTGATGTGAGAGAGAAACATCAATTGCCTGCCTCCTGTACACCCCCTACTGGGGATTGAGCCTGCAACCCGGGCATGTGCCCTGACCGGGAATAGAACCAGGACCTCTCAGTCCATGGGATGACACTCAATCCACTGAGCCACACTGGCCAATCCAAACTTATTTATAAATTAATGAATTTGTTTTTATAATATTTGGTGAATTCACACTTAACATTTAAGACCAAATCTTAACTAATAAAATTTTAATCTTGTTAAGAATTTAAACTCAGCAATACAATTTATTTCCTCCAATATGAGTGATATTTTAGTGGGACTCTAAAAAGTTAGACGATGAATTGTAAGCCTTAGAAAGAATGAGGCCTTTGTTTCTTTTTTTTTTTTTTTTTTTATCCTCACCCGAGGATATTTTTCCATTTTTTGTACAGATAGAGTGGGAGGGAGAGAGAGGAAGGGAGAGAGAGAGAAACATCGACGTGAAGGGACACATCAAGTGGCTGCCACCCGCACGACCAACCAGGGCCGGGGACAAACTGCAACCGAAGTACATGCCCTTAGCGGGAACCGAACCCGGGTCTCTCCGGACCGCAGGCCGACGCTCTAACCGCTGAGCCAAACTGGCCAGGGCGAGGCCTTTGTTTCTTTAAGGATCGTCGATAGACCATTTAATGGTACATAAAAACAAAACAAAACCCAAAGAAAAGGTCTATGTTCCCTCCCAGAGCTGATGTTCACGATGCTCTCATTTCTTCATGTTTAGGATATCTCTGACTCTTCCATGGTTGCTGTTTGGATATGTTTTGACCTTTCTAGGTATGATAAGCATGTGAGAAAATTGCTATTTTCCCACCATGAACAGATACTAACTATAAATCTAGTAATCTTGGAAATTGTTTCTTTGAACACCCATTATATTTTTCATTGCAATAAGGCTTTTCTTCTGCAGCCTGATTTCTTGCAACTGCTCTATTTAATAATTTTTTATTGGAGGTCCCACTGAGGTTGTCCGGGAGATCTATTTCCCAAACCGACTAAACTGTGTTACCTGAGAAATGCCCCCTTGGGCTTTTTACACTTGGATATGCCTCCTTTTCAATTCGAAGGGTCAATCTCGTGTGGCAAGAGGTCTTACTGTTGCTGATATTTCTCTCTTCCCTCCCCAGCTTTATTCTGTTGCTACTTTTGATTCTGGATTAAGTCTGAGTTTTAGTCAAATCTGATTCTAGTTCTTGTTCTTATTTGTAGAGGGCCACTTATGTCTGTGTTGGTGACAACAAGCTGTGAATCTGGTTTTATGGTTTGACCATCTGGTGGTCTCTGCTGGGAAATGAACAATAGGAATTTATTTTCTGTTGGGTGGCAGTCAACAAGAATTTGATTGCATCTTTTATCTTTCTGTCTGTGTGTCTTGAGAATTCTGGTATCTCCTGGTAGCCTCAATATTGTTGTCTTGCATGTTGTTATGAATTTAAATCACTCAAAAATGTGTGTGTGTATATGTATGTGACTCTGGGAAAATAGTCTGTAAGATTAGGAGCTGATAGGTAGATTTTATGCTATGCTACTTTCTGACCCTTAACTAAAGTAGTAAAACCAAAGCCATTAGTTCTTTTTGTCTTTATGTATATAAATGAAAAAGAATGATCTGATTACAATAAAGTCTATCTGTGGGCAGATCCCATTCTCCCAATTCCTCTATGGGAAATCTATGGAGTGTAATTGGGAATAAATTCATGGGTAAATACTCATGTCCTTACCAAAAGGGACTGAGACAGAATTTCACTAGACTCTTTTATTCCAGAAGTAGATGAATTCATAAAAGCAGTTGCTTAACCAAGGTCCAAAAAACGAGAATGAATTACCCTGGTTAATAGTCTATATTTGATGGATATGTAAGAAATTAACTCTTGCCCTGGCTGGTTTGGCCAGTGGTTGGAGTGTTGGCCTTCAGTCCAGAGAGACCTGGGTTCAGTTCCCACTAAGGGCACATACCTCGGTTGTGTTTTGTCCCTGGCCCTGGTTGGGTTGTGCGGGAGGTAGCCACTTGATGTGTCCCTTTAACGTCGTTGTTTCTCTCTCTCTCTCTATCTCTTCCTCTCTCTCTCTCCCACTCTATCTGAACAGAAAATGGAAAAATGTCCTCAGGTGAGGATAAAAAAAAAAAAAAGAAACTCTTTCTTCTTACTGTATCCCACAGTCTCACTAAAGGGCTACATATACTTGTGCAAACTAAGATTATATGTTCTTTGAATGATATATTATTCCAAATGAAACCTCAGAATAAAAAATTCCTTTTTTTTTTAATCCTCACCAGAGGACATTTTTGCATTTATCTTCAAATAGAGCGGAAAGGAGAGAGGGAGGAAGAGAGAGAGAGAAACATTCAATGTGAAAGAGACACCTCGACTGGTTGCCCCCCACATGACCCCAACCGGGGCCGGGGATGAACTGCAACCAAGGTACATGCCCTTAGCGGGAACCAAACCCAGGTCTCTCTGGTCCACAGGCCAAAGCTCTAACCGCCGAGCCAAACCAGCCAGAGCCAGAATAAAACATTTCTATACAAATTCCTACTATAGGTTATAAACTAATAAATCCTCATAGAAACATAGATAAGTATTCTGCAAAAATAATAGCGTATATAAATTGGCCCTGCTTACAAAACTATTGAGAATGATGGTTAAATATTCACAGTGACTTTAAGCTCCTCTTTTCATGACTAGGTAGTATTTACATAAACTCAATAAAAAATTCATCCTCCTTCCTACAAGGATAGAATTAGAGAAACCAATTTATCAATAAATCAATAATAATAAATCAAATTTATAAATAAATTTGTGTTTATGTCAGAAATCTCATCCAAATAAGTATGCTAATCAATCTCACTATTACAAATCAAGGATAAAATAAGATAGACCAAAAAGACAAATATGATATGATTCCACTTATATGAATGAGGAATCTAGAATAGGAAAATTCATAGAGACTAGAATTAGAATGGAGTGGCCAGGGGCTGGGGAAGGGGGGGATGGAGAGTTAGAGTTTAATGGATACACAGTTTCTCTTTGGGGTGATGAAAAAGTTCTGGAAATAGATAACAGTTGTGTTTACACAACATTGTGAATGTAATTGCCACTGAACTGTACAATTAAAATGGCAAAAAATACCCCCAAACAAATAAAAAAGTTAAGTCAAAAGCTCAACTAGCTCTGGCCGGTGTTTCAGTCGGTTGGGCATCTTCCTGAGCACCAAGAGGTGGCCAGTTCCATTCCCATCGGGGCACGTACCTTCATTCCACAGATCATAATCTGCATATTCTTAATTTTATTATTATTTTTTTGTCCTCACCTGAGGACATTTTCCATTTTTTTGTTCAGATAGAGAGGGAGGGAGTGGGAGGAAAAGAAAGGAGAGAGAAACATCGATGTGAAAGGGACACATCGAGTGGCTGCCACCTGCACAACCCAACCAGGGCCAGGGACAAACTGCAACCGAGGTACGTGCCCTTAGTGGGAACCGAATCCAGGTCTCTCTGGACCACAGGCCGACGCTCTAACTGCTGAGCCAAACCGGCCAGGGCTGCATATTCTTAATTTTAATACATCTGTTCTGGCTTCTCAACATAGTTCTTTGTTCCTTGGCTCCAGTATATGAACTGATAAGAACACCAAAATACTACTGAGCCATAAAAGTCAATGAGTATTCATCTGGATTTTTTTTTTTTTATCCTCACCCGAGGATATTTTTCCTTTTTTTTTTTTTTTTGTACAGATAGAGTGGGAGGGAGAGAGAGGAAGGGAGAGAGAGAGAGAAACATCGATGTGAAGGGACACATCTAGTGGCTGCCACCCACACGACCAACCAGGGCCAGGGACAAACTGCAACCGAAGTACGTGCCCCTAGCGGGAACCGAACCCGGGTCTCTCCGGACCACAGGCCGACGCTCTAACCGCTGAGCCAAACTGGCCAGGGCCATCTGGATTTTTTGTGTACATAAACCTGATATAAAACAGAATATAAACTTCATTCTGAATAATCTCTCCAGGAATAAATATACACATCCTGACATATCTTAAAGAGATACACAATTTTCCTTAACATTGTTTTGTTTTTAATTACAGTTGACATTTATTATTATATTAGTTTCAGGTGTCATCTGGATGTTTTGAAATATACGTGGAACCATGCAGACATTATACGTAAAATCTAAAAAGCAATTGCTACGAATATATTCAGCAACTGCTATGAGTATCTTCACTCAGTAATAATCATGATACTCGGGAACTCCACCATTTGGAGAGGGAATTGGTGTGGGTGGAATTAAATGAATCTTTCCTCTTGTTATTTAGTCCTTAATGGGCTGAGATGAATGAGCAGATAGCCCAGTGAAATTGACGTTAGCCAGTCCTCGATTTTGTAAACTGGAGTATGTATGACAAGTACTTGTTTACCAAAATTGTCAATTCCTTATTTTTCTCCTTCCTTCAGTTTTCCCCTCTTCGCCCTCCCCTTCCTCCTCTCTGTCTAGCTTCTTCATAGTTTTACTTACAGTTCAAACGGGCGGCATTTTCTCTCCTGCCGCCTCCATTTTCCCCTGAGGGAGTTTCCTGAGATGACACATCTGGGCTCTGCCTTTTCTTCCCCTCTCTCCTCCATCTCCTCCTCCTGCACCCATCCCGGCAGCCCCTCACCTGCAGGTACCAGTGTTTCACCAGCCGCAGGAGGTTCTTCAGCTTGGTTGGCCGATGTTTCACGAAGTTTCTCTGCAGTTCGCAGAAGGAAGGAGAGAAATTTCCGGCGAAACCGTTGGCTCCAATCAGACTCACGTAGACCCCGGGGTGCAGCTGGGAGTTGGGAACAGAAGGCCCTGGAGTGAGAGGAAGCAAAGGGAGAGGGCAGGGATTTAGGCAGCCTCGGACTGCCAAGTGGCCTGTGCCTGGAGGGCCTGCTAATTCACTGGAGTATTTTTCCAGGAAAACCTGAAACCTCGTAGCCTAAGAGAATAAAGGGAGACTGTGGGTTTTCTAATTCTTAGACCATTCAAGGGCTAGTGTCTGCCCTTGATGTCCTTAACACTTTCCCTTAATGCCTGTTTTGGATCTCTCTCAGATTTGTTTGGACCTCCCATCAGTGCAGGGAAGACCCAGCTCCAGGCAAGAGAGCTGGGCTCTGCAAGTCATTTGCCAAGGGGTGAGCTGTCGCACATCACCAGTGCCTCCTGCCTGCTCATTTGTAATGTGCTTTCCCTTCTCTGCTCCTGTTTCTTACCAGCGTCTTCTGGGCCTGTCTGCCCTCTAACCCTTGTCTCGGGGTGACCTGTGCTAAGTGCTACAGAAGCACCTGAGTTTACTCTTCTAACTCCTCCCCCTCCGTGGGTCTTGACTCCTTTTGCAATCTGTGTGATTCCTTGCGAGATCTGTTTCCCAAGCAGAGCCACGTGACGGCCGGAGTTGGGCAGTCCTGTGCATTGTGGTTGCCAGCCCCCAGCACTTCACGGGTTAGAGGGATGAATGTGGCCAGGAGGGAGAAGGGAGGCCACTGTAGGTCTCTCAGTCAGTAGGCTTCCTCTCCCCTTACCCAGGACCCTGAAGGCAGGCACGATGGTGACAGTGATGGGCTCCGCAGTCTCTCTGGTCTGGATGGTGAAGACAAGAGCATCGGGGACTCCCTGGAACACCCCCAAGACTTCGAGTCCGAGGGCCAGCAGGTCCGGGCTAGTCCACAGCTTTTTCTGTATCAGTCTCAGAACAGCTTGGTGGTGCTTGGCCTCCTCCTGGAAGCTGCGGAAACAGCTCAGAAACACCACCAGCTCCACCTCGGTGTTGCTCCTGAGCACTGTGCCATTCCCAAAGCTGCCCACCTGCAGAACAGAGAGCCCTGTCACCCTGAGGCCACCGTCTACATCAGGCAGTCCCTGCGGCCCTCCACACGTATGACGTTCATCACAACCCTGACAGATGGGTGGGTGGTGCCAATGCCCCCTCTTTACGGGCAAGAAAATAGCTGTCAAGGGGATAAGGCACTTGCCCAGGGTCACACAGTACACAGCCTGACTCCAGAACGCAAGCTTCTTATTACACTGCATCGCTCTGAAACTGTCTTCTCATCTGCGGTTGTCTGTTCCAAGAGAATATGAATGTCTACTCCACAGGGTTGTTTGAGAATTAGGGGTGGGCCTGAATAATTTATGACATTAAAAAAGAGGGCACAGGATTGCCTGGTAGATAAGAGCCGTGAGCTGTGCAATGGGGCAGCCTGACTTTGACCTTGACTCCTGCCTTATTTTCCCTATGTGATCACTCTGAACCCTAAGTCCATAAAATGAGAAAAACAATAGAGCATGAGTCATTGGGTTTCTGGGAGGGTCAGACAAGGGAGTGTGTGCCAAAGTCTTGCCAGGTGCTGGGCACACAGGAAGTCAGCAGTATCTCTCTCTTTCTCCTCTTTATCTGGTTGGCTCACATCATTCTTTCTGCTGCTTCGGATTCACTTTCCCCATCTGAATGGAAGGAGCCCGAGCTGGATGGGCTTTGTAATGTTCTGAGATTCTGGGGTGCTCTCCAACCCCTGCTGCCTCTGGTATACAAAAGCCCCACAACTCTCTGGCCTTCCTTCTTTCTCACTCCGGATCGGGAGGTGGAATTTCTGGGCATGAACAGACCTCAGGTCAGCTACCTCTCCCGGTGGGTGAATCCCTGCAGCTGTCCTGGGCTGAGCACTCGCTGTGTCTGGTACTCCTGAAAGCCCTTTATACGTACAGGACCTTTACCCTCACACCCAGTGACTGATGTGGGCACTAGTATACTTATCTCCAAAATACAGATAAGAAAATGGAGGTAGTGGGGGTTAATCAACTTGCCGTGGGATCCTAGCTAGGAGTCAAGGTCAGTCAGCTGAAGAGTCAGAAAACACGGTGTGGTTCTTTGACCTCTTTCTTCCCAGTGACCCAGGTCTGTGAGCCAGGCCCAGCTTCTGAGAAGGACCCTGCCATCTTCTGTCTTCCTACCCTTTCCATTCTTATTCCCCATCTGCATCGAGACTCAGCGTGCCTGCCTCATGTGACAGGGTTTGGGGATGGTGACCTGTGTGTGGACAAGGGCTACAATCCTCAGAAGGCCTTTCCCAGTGATAACACCCGGGCAGAGAGGAAAGAACATTCTAGAATAGGCTTCATGACCTGCTTCAGTTCAAACCTATTTAAACCCCATTTGTTCGAGGACGAGTGTTCATTCATGTGGACCTGCCCAGCTCACCAGATTTTTAGGGTAGGGGAAGGGTTTAGAGGCCAGACAGTGTTATTTCTCATTGGCCATTGCTTTGTGGGTAGCTCTATGATTTCGTGGTTTCAAGGGCAGAAGTGGATATGGTCTGCAGGTAGACTTTGAGAGCTGGGGAAATGTCATTTCCTGCTGTCAAAACTCATTCCGGCCCTGGCCGGTTTGGCTCAGTGGTTAGAACGTCAGCCTGCGGTACGGAGAGACCCGGGTTCGGTTCCCGCTAAGGGCATGTACCTCGGTTGCAGTTTGTCCCCGGCCCTGGTTGGTCGTGTGGGTGGCAGCCACTCGATGTGTCCCTTTCACGTCGATGTTTCTCTCTCTCTCTCTGTTCCTCTCTCTCCCTCCCACTCTACCTGAACAAAAAATGGAAAAATGTCCTCAGGTGAGGATAAAAAAAAAAAACAACAACAACTCATTCCGTTTGTCGCATCCTCCTATCCGCAGACTCCCCCACTCCATCTGTTGTTTCAGTGTTAAGGTTGTCAGGGGGTGGTCTGGGGGGGGGGTCTGCCTGACTCAGGTTGGTGCCCAGACCAAAAAGATTGCTCAGGCAATCATTTATAATTATGCTTTTTTTTAAAAAAAGAAAGCATTTACCACGTGCTAATCATTTAGCCCACTTCCCCACCTGCTTGATGAGGTGGAGTTGCTGCTGCTGCTGCCCCAGTTACAGAGAGAAGACTGAAGGTTTGATAAGTAAGACGGTAAATCCACAGCCCCACCTATGTCACAGCCAGGAAAGGAAGAAGCCAAGAATCACATGAGGTCTGACGTCAAAATGTGTGGTTTCTCACTTTTAAATCACATGACCTCAAGCTTCCAATGCTAGGGATGAGTACAGAGAAGAGATGGGGACCTGAGCTTTCTTAATCCTTCCCCGAGGTGGCTCCCTGGGGAAAGAGCTAGAGTACTGGGCTTGAAACCAGAATTCGGGGTGTCTTAATTCTAGTTTTGCCTTTGCCACCAGCTTGCTTGTGACTTGCTTGGGACATCGCTCACCCTCTCTACGCACCAGTGTCCTTAATGTTTCAACGAGGGACTGGCTGAGACTGTCGGATTCTCCATGGCCTTTCTAGTTTTGACCCTCTTGAATTTTGATCCTAGCTAGGACAAGAGGTGACATGAGGCAGCTGGAGGAAGGGCCTGGGGGGAAATCTCACTGGGGCACCCTCGGAGCCCTGGCTGTGGAGTCAGATAGAACCCTGGTTCAAATCCCAGATCTACCACTAGCTTTGTGACCTTGGGCAAATCACCTCACCCTTCTATGCTTTCATGGAAAAAACAAAAACAAAAAAAACACCTTTTTCTTATCAAAAAATTAAAACATAGAAACATAGCCCTGGCTGGTTTGGCTCAGTGGTTGAGCATCGGTCCGAGGTCCAGAGTCGCAGGTTCGATTCCTGGTCGAGGGCACATACTTCGGTTGCAGGTTTGATCCCAGCCCTGGTCGGGTCGTGTGGGAGGTAACCAATTGATATGTCTCTCACATAGAAGTTTCTCTCGCTCCCTCCCTCCCTCCCTCCTACTCTATCTGAAAATCAATGGGAAAATATCCTCAGGTAAGGATTTTAAAAATAAATAAAATAAAAAATAAAACATTGAGAATACAGTGAACTCATATATCCAGTCAGTTAGATTCAACAAGTCTAAACTTCTCACCACATTTGCTTTATCTAAGCCAATTAAAGTAAATTACAGACACCAAAAAATTTTGTTCCTAAATACTTTAGCATTTGTGTCCAATGAAAGAATACTTCCCCCATAACCACAAAATTATTACACCTAACAAAATCAACAATGATCCCTTATATAATCTAATATCCAGGTCGTATTAAAATTTCCTCAGCCTTGGTCAGGTAGCTCAGTTTAGAGCATTGTCCCAAGATGTCAAGGTTGTGGGTTTAATCTCCAATCAGAGCACATACAAGAATCAACCAATTAATGCATAAATAAGTAGAACAACAAATCAATATCTCCTCTGTCTCTTTCTCTCTCTCTCCTCTCTCTCTAAAATAAAATAAAAAAAATGTTTTTCCTCAATTGTTTCTTAACTATATTGTATGGATGATCTAGTCACACCAGGAGCCAGTCAAAGACCTTGCTTTTGCATTTGGTTGTTATGAATCTTAAGTCTCTGAGCCTCCATTTTGCTCATCTGAAAAATGGGAAAAGAACAGTACCTACCTCATAGGGTACACAAATTAGAGATATGTTAAGGGGTTAAGATAGTGCACCCAAAGAAGTGAACTATTATTAGCTTCCTTACTGGATTGCTCTGCTCAAGACAGCAGTGTGGTGGGGTGCAGGCAGCGAAGGTGGGATGTCCTGAGATGTTAGCAGCATGAGTTAGGGGTAATGAGGCAAGAGGTCCCCAGCATCCTCAGGGATAAGGATCCCCATGTAGGTTTGCCTGGTTCTGGCCCAGGGATGGAGAAGACCAGTCTCACCTTCACTGTCTTCAGCACCCGAATCTCCTGGTCTAGCCCACGCTCCCCCTGGAAGGTCTCTTCCCTCAGGAACTGCTCCACGGTCCGCACAGCCTCCAGCACCTCTTCCTTCCACTCCCGGCTGGGCTGCAGCCACTGAGCCACGAAGGAGTCCAGTCTGGAGGCAGGGGTGCCATACAGCTCCGGGAACAGTGCCATCTCTGTCTCGAGAGTACCACTGCTAGTCAGATATATAGTCACACTCCCAGCTCCTGGCATACACGCCCTTTAAGGTAGTTCCTCCTCCGTTATCTTCTGGCACCCTGTTCGGATAAAACACCATAGTGGAGAGGAAGCCAGGAGTGACTGGGCTGATCGGGGGCTTCCTTCTTGGGGACCCCTCGCTGTGGCAGAGGCACTGAGGGACACTGAGCTGAGGCTGGAAGGTCTGGGGTCACCTTAACAGGCTTGTCTTCTGGCCAACCTTCTTGCTATTGGTTTCGATTCTCAACTTTTTGAGTTTCCCTTTTATGATGTTTGGAAACTGAAATTGGCTTGAGTTTCATCCTTAGAGGAGGCAACTCTCCAAGTGGGTGAGAGTTGGATGGTATCTGTCAATCCAGTTATGCCCCCTTGTCATTCAAACTGAGGTTCAGAAAAAAAAGGGACTTGTCAAGGCTGGGCTGAACAGTGGGAACTCAAGTCAGACAGGACAGATTTATTTTTTTTTTAGTTTAAATTTTATTTTTCAATTACAGTTTACATTCAATATAATTTTGTTTAGTTTCAGATGTACAGCACAGTAGTTAGATAATCCTACACTCTACAAAGTGATCCCTCTGATATTTCCAGTACCCACCTGGCACGGTACATAGTTATTACAATATAATTGATTGTATTCCCTATGCTGTACTTTATATCCCTATGACTACTTTGTAACTACCAATCTGTACTTCTCAATCCCTTCCTCTGTTCACCCAGTCCCCTAATCCCCCTCCCCTCTGGCAACCATTAGTCTGTTCTCTGTATCTGTGAGTTTTTTTCTGTTTTGTTTGTTCATTTGTACTGTTCTTTGGATTCCACATATAAGTGAAATCATATGGTATTTGTCTTTCTCTGACTTATTTCACTTGATATAATACTCTCTAGGCCCATCCATGCAGTTACAAATGGTAAGATTTCATTCTTTTTTATGGCTGAGTAATATTCCATGTATCACCACTTTTCTTTTTTTTTATCCTCACCCGAGGACATTTTTCCATTTTTTGTTCAGATAGAGCGGGAGGGAGAGAGAGGAAGAGAGAGAGAGAGAAACATCGATGTGAAGGGACACATCGAGTGGCTGCCACCCGCACGACCAACCAGGGCTGGGGACAAACTGCAACCGAGGTACGTGCCCTTAGCGGGAACCGAACCCAGGCCTCTCTGTACCGCAGGCCGACGCTTCAACCGCTGAGCCAAACCGGCCAGGGCCCAGTAGATTCTTTTGACTGCAGATAATTTCCTTATGAATCCTGAGTTTGAATCCTTATGTTGATCCTTTTCGTGATCTTTCTGTCGCTGCAGAAGACCATGGGGAAATAGTCATTCATTCCCAGGTCACACTTCCCTCCTCCTAGTTCACCAGCTGCCTTGGGGAGCCGACTGATTCTGAGATGGGCTTCGAAGAGCTATGTTGCAGTGTGGTGTGAACTTAAAAACACCCAGCGCACGGATCATGTGGGGACATGACTTTTTTCCGATGAGACAAAAGCGTGACTGAGCATGGGAGCAGGTGTCTGATGACCTGTATCAAATCATCCTGGAGGCCACAGTTCCCTGTTCTGTGACATGGGGCCTACTCATTAGTATTATGAGGCTAAATATAATAAAATTCAGATGGAGCCTGAAGAAAAATGACTAGTCCTTTATAAAGGACATATAAGTGTCTGGGAGAATAGGTGAGAAATGAGATAGTAGCTGCCTCCACTGAGGGCACTTGGGTGGCTACAGGGCTGGGAAAGCGAAGGCTACTTTCAGTCTGTACATGGGGTGATGCTTTATAACAGCTCATGGAGAGTGTCTTTCATCATCTGTGATCACATGAGCCCTGTGGGGTGGGCAGAGAAGGGGCTGTGACCTGTATTTCATGGTTCATGGCACTGAAACGTAGAGGCATTCAGTGACTTTCCCAGTGTCACAAATTGATGACAGGTGGACCTAGGGCAGGAATGTAGTTGGTTCCCTGGAGACAGAGATTCCTGAGCCCCTAAGTACTCTAGATCATGTCCTGGATTCCTGAACCATGGGCCACGCTCCCTCCATTCCCCAAATTCTCCTGCCCCAAGGTTTCTGGGGGACACAGGAGGTGTTGAACCAAGAGAAGGGCATATGCCTTACCCAGCTTCTACCCCCACATGCAATTCCAGACGTAAACACTATGATGGTTTCTTTAAAGGAAGTCCCTTGAAGGACCAGAAGGTCCAGTCTGTGTCCCTCCTTCCCCAGAATCTTTACACATCAGCACCTTAAGGTGAAGCTCCGGAGGGTCTGACCAGTGGTCTGGGAGGCTCATGCGGCTGAGAGCCCAGGCCTTTCCAAGCCAACTGTTCACATGTTAGCTCTCTAACACATCAGCTTGGCCTTCAGTGCCAAACCTTGATAAACAGCGCCAACTCGTGAGGAGGGAGCGCTGCTAGGCTGGTGCTTTGGCAGTTTCATGGATGAAGTTGGCACGTTGCACTGTCTACTGACCACTGATGTGAGGTCTGAGCAGACTGGGCTAAGGCCTGGCTGAGAGCAGGTGGTGGCTGCACTGGCCCTGAGGGTGCACCGTCCCTGCTCCTTCCTTCCTCACTGCAGTCAGTGCTCACAAACTCCTCCCCCCTCCCTAGACCCGCAGTGGCAGGGGACAGAGACCCACGTCCTCAGAGAGGGACCCCTCCTTCCCCACAGCCTGTGACCCCACCCCAAGATGCTCTCTGATAATCACCCAGACCCTCCTAACCTCTGTCACCAAACGTTCATTCCCCCTGTCCAGTGGCACGTTCCTTTCTTTGCCACTCTACCAGGCAGCACCAACACCCAGGATCCTGTGCCCGTCAACTACAGACACCCTGCCAGGCAACCCATGTTTCCTTCTTTCTAAGAATCTCTGAGTCTAGATTGCTAACAACTGGTTTCAGATTCCGCCACTAACACTCAGAAGAGCTGACCTGTGGTTCTCCTGTCTGTTGCTGGGGTGGTATCAAGAGTCCCCTGATCCAGTGAAAGCAAGATGGGTGTGTTTCCTCTGTACCTGTTCTCTGGAAATCTGTGTTCGAGGCCGACATTGTTTCTATTTTAAATATTTGGTAGAAGTCAGCGGAAGGGGACGTTGTCACACCCCCTGCTAAGGACACCAGCACATGTGAGTCACCTCCCTGGCTTCTCTGCCAACTCTAGTCCCAGCCTTTAAAACATTCTCTTCCAAATGTCCTGGGGACACTGTCACTTCTCCTCTCTTCCACTAGATGGTGCTCTGCACCCACCTGAGACAGCCACCGACCCTGCTTCCTAGCATGCTGGGGCAGGCAAAGATGACACAATGATGAATGGTGCTAACCGTGAAGGGGAAATGTTGACTACTTTATTTTTATTTTTTTTAAGAGTCTGGATTTATTTTATTGTATTCATTTATTTTTTAAATCCTCACCTGAGGATATTTTTCCATTTATCTTCAGAGTGGGAGGAATAGAGAGAGAAAGCGCGCATGCACAACATCGATTGGTTGCCTCCCACATGACCCCAACCAGGGCTGGGGACCCAACTGCAACTGAGGTACGTGCCCTTGACTGGAATTGAACCCACAACTGTTTGGTCCATGGGCCGACGCTGTAACTGCTAAGCCAAACTGGCCAGGGCAAAAGTTGACTAAAGTAGTCATCAATACTTTTGTTCATCAATAAACATGATTGTAGAATAAAAAGATAAACCATATAGCGGAAAAGGCTTTTTGCATCCACGTATCCAACAAAGGACTTGTGTTATAAACAAAAAAAAGCACAAAAGAAAATGGGCAGAAGACATGAATAGATTTTTTTGGAAAGAGGATACATCCCTTGCTAAAACTCAAATGCATATACGCTCAACCCCATTAGTCTTCATTGAAATGCAGTTTGACAGCCCAAGGTGATACGTCACCAGGAAGCCTAAAATGAAAATGGTCCATAACTAGTGCTGCTGAGGAGGTGGAGGCAGTGGAACTCCATTCAGTGCTGATGGTTGGATAAATCGATATAACACTCTGGATAACTATGTTCACATCTCCTAAAACTGAATACATTCAAACCCTGGGGTACCGCAGTTTCCCCTCGGTATCGTCCCAACACGGATATGTACTTACGTTCACAAATACACACAAGCTGGAATGCTCATAGCACCCCTAAGAGCCCCAGACGTAAAACTATCCAAATATCCATCAATGGCCGAATGGATCAAGTGTGGCGTATTCACACAGTGGGCACTGCACAGCACTGAGCTTGAGCAAAGTACACTGGCATGCAACCACGTGGACGGGTCTCACAAACAGAGAGCAAACAAAATCAACACCAAAGAGTGCAGATACAGCAGCACCGCCCCCCTTATCAGCAGGGGATACGTTCCAAGAACCCCAGTAGATGCCTGAAACTATGGATAGTACCAAACACTACATGCACTAGGTTTTTCCTACATATAGATACCTATGATAAACTTAGGGCTTCTCTTTGGCATGTCTGAATTGCCAGCATCACTACTCTTGAACATCGGGGCCATTATTAAGTAAAATAAGAGTGACTGGAACACAAGCACTGCAAGTCATGACCGTCCATTTGTTAACCCAGATGACTACTAAGCGATGAATGGGTGGGGTTAGCACATACAGTGTGGATATACTGGACAGAGGGATGATTCTCATCTAGGCAGGGTGGATGGAGAAGGAACGTGCGAGATTTCATCATGTTACTCAGAATGGCGCACAATTTAAAACTTACAGATTGTTTATTTCTGGAATTTTCCATTTAATATTTCTGGATCACAATTGACTGTAGGTAACTGAAACCTGGAAAAGTGAAATAGTGAATGGGGCAGGGCTACTTGTTAGCTCTTAACTTCCATATTACTGCCCTAAACCTCTCATTCCAAGAAACCAAAACCCATCACTCCAGTCAGGCAGAACGGAATGATGGAACCACCCTAACCCACTCAAAACTGCAAACGGGCCCTGGCCGGTTTGGCTCAGCGGTTGGAGGGTCGGC